CTTCTTTTGAATAGTAGTAGTGAGTTTTTGCTCTAGCGAATGCTTCAAAGACTCATGATCTGTTTTGATTGTAAATGGACCTCCTTCTAGATAGTGTCTCCATTTAGAGATAGCCATTAGAATGGCTAAATATTCTTTCTCATATATGGACAAGTCAACCTGCTTTGGTCCCAAAGCTTTACTAAGAAAAGAAATTGGCCTACCCTCCTGAGATAGGATTGCCCCTATACCTTTGGAACTAGCATCAGTTTCCAAGTAAAAGCTTTTGTTGAAATCAGGTAAGGCTAACACTGGAGCCCAACACATAGCCTTCTTAAGGATGAGAAATGCTTGCTTAGCTTCTTCAGCCCACACAAACTGGTCTTTCTTTAGCATTGTAGTAAGAGGCTTACTAATCTCCCTATAAGCTTTAATAAACTTTCGATAATAGCCTGTGAGACCCAAAAAACCATGCAAAGACTTCAAATTCTTTGGAATAGGCCACTCTTAAATAACTTGAATCTTGGAAGAATTTGTAGCTACTCCATGTTGAGAAATAGTATGTCCAAGATATTTCACTTCTGTTTGCCCGAAAAAACATTTACTTCTCTTAGAAAAAAGCTGATTTGTCCTTAGAATCTGCAAAATAGTTCTCAATTGTTGCACATGACTAAGTAAATCAGAACTGTAAATTAAAATGTCATAAAAAAAACTAGAACAAATTTTCTAAGGTAGGCACCAAATAGATCATTCATAAGAGCTTGAAAGGTAGTTTGTGCATTAGTTAGCCCAAAGGGCGTCACCTTAAACTCAAAATGACCATGATGTGTCCTAAAGGCTGTTTTAGGAATATCCTCAGGTGTAATTCTGATCTGCCAGTAACCAGATCTTAAATCCAGCTTAGAAAAAAATTTAGCTCCAGCTAATTCATCCAAGAGATCATCCACAACAGGAATAGGAAACTTGTTCTTCACAGTTAGGGCATTTAACTGTCTATAATCAATGCACATTCTCTAGCTACCATATTTCTTTTTGACTAATAAACATGGTGAGGCAAAAGGGATTTTACTAGTTTAAATGATTGATGCAACTAACATGTCAGCAACTTGTTTTTCAACCTCAGTTTTCTGATGGTAAGGCATTCTGTAAGGTCATACATTAACTACTTCAGTTCCTGTTTTTAAGGTAATAGAATGATCATGCTTCCTTCTTGGAGGCAGTCAGCTAATACTGCTTGAATTTCAGGAGGTATATCAGTGTTACTAACCTCTGCATTTAACATATAAATTTACCCCACTAATTCCGAATTGTTTTTCATCAGCCTTTGCATTCTAGTGCCTGAAATTACCTTCATTGCAGCAGTGTTCACTCCTCCTTTTAACACAATATCTTGATCACCCATTTTAAAACTAAGAGTCGTATCATTAAAGTCCATCAATATTGGACTGTATTTCTTCATCCAGTCAACTCCAATCACCATATCACTACCTCCAAGAGGTAAAACTCTGAAATCATGGATAAAAGTGAAGTCTTGCATTTCTCAACTGAGTTGTTTACTTTTTGCTGTGCTATAAAGTTTATCACCATTAGCAACTATAATTACCAATGGATTAGTTTCTTCCACTTCCAATCCTTTCTTTTCCCACCTATTAGTGACAAAACTATGAGTACTGCCACTATCAATCAAAATACTGAGTGGTTTTCCTTTAATGAATCCTTGGATCCTTAATGTTCTACTGCCAGAATTGCCTGTTATTTCATTCATAGAAATCTCAGGATCATTTTCCTCTGTTGTCAATTTCTCACAAATATTCTGTATTGTCTGTAATTCTTCTTGCTCATCCACCTCTTCCATTGAATTTAACTGTTTCAGTTTGCATTGATGGCCTGAAGTGAATTTATCCCCACACCTATAACACAGATTATTAGCTCCTATGTATTCTAACAACGACTGTTTGTTTTGGGCCAACCTTTGGTTTGCTTTTAATGTTGAATTCAGGGATGAATTAGATGTTCTGTAAGCAGTGTTATACCCTTGCACTACTGGCTTGGAAATACTTTTTAATTTCTTATTTTCCACTTCCAAGGATAGTTCATAAAGTTTAGCTTTCCTAGCAGCCTCAGCCACAGTTTTAGGCTCCAAAACCTTTACTTTATGTTTCAGTTCCTCTTTAAGGCCACTCAAAAAACTTGAAACAAAATACTCCTCTCCTAATTCAGGGTTAAACTGAAGAATGAATGGTTGAAGTTCTTCAAACTGAGCTTCATACTCTTCTACAGAAGATATTGAGTTAATTTATTAAACTCATCTATCACATCAGTATATCTTTTAGCATAAAATCGATGACATAATAATGCCAGGTAACTCGACTCTTCTTCATAACATATCCATCAAACCATACTTCTGTCTTATCAGTGAAGTACATAGCAGCAACCTCTAACTTTTGAAATTCAGGAACAACAAAAATAGAAAAATATTTTTCACATTTCCTGACCCAACTTCTAGGATTACTACCATCAAAGAACTGAAGCTCTATTTTGGGCTTTGGAAAAAACATGCTAGTATTAGTTTTGTTTGGCTGTTTTTCCAGAAATGGATGGCCTTTCATCGTCGATTGTTCCCCAGAATCAGTTGTACTTACTCTTACTTTCATCTTAAAAACATCATTTGTTTCAATAAGATCTTGGTGAAAAGTAGGTTTTGAGGCTAGAATCCCTGGTTGTCATGGTTGAAAGGAATACTTTTCACAATCATCAATAACTGTAACTTGCAAGGGCAACTTACTTGTTGTTTTAGTCTGAACTGCTGGTAATGGATGTTGTTCAGCAGGAGAAGAATGGCCAGACTCTGTTCTAGCTTTCTGCATCAATCCCAAAAGTTGTTGGAGCAAATTTTTAGTTTCATTTGTTGTTGTCTCCAAAGTCTGCATCCTATGCTCCAAAGCACTTTGTTGATGAAGCCACCAAGTTGGAATTGCTTTGACATCAGAAGACTCTATTGGATCAGGAGGAATAACTGGTGGTGGATCATTATGAGTCATTTGTTGATTTTTCTTTGTTTTACCCAGTTTGAAATTTTTTTTTTGATACTTTTGGATAAAAAAACAACCTTGCTCTGAATACCAATTTGCAATGATTTCGAATGGAAGACAGAAAGAATTTAAGAAAACAGAGAAGAATAAGATGAAAGGAAGAACTTCATAATATTTTCATTCATAATTTCATTTGTTTTTACAACCAGTATATAGTGAATTTGTTAAGAATTTAGTGCAAGCTGTACTGTCCTTGTATAACAACTAGATTTCTTTAACTGATTTTATCTTTTAAATTCCATGGCAAGCTGTTGGGCTCATTTTCTTCACTTTGGGCTCGTTCTTCTCTGGTCCACTCCCATATGATCCAGGCAGCCTGTTCTTCTCTTCAGGTATGTTTCCTGCTCCCACTTGATCTATCAAATTAAATTCCTTTTTCCCCAAAATCCCTAATTCTCTCGTTTTCCCCAATTCCTTATCATCCCTCTCCATTTCTGCCTCATGGTTCATGACACTTGTGTCTGTTCATGACGGTCTAACTCTTTTATATTACCTTCTTCTGTTATTTCTCCATGTACTTCAAGTTCTAACTCCATGTTATCCTCGATAACTTTTTATGCTATATCTTCTTTACTTTCTTGGGTGCTCGTTTGACTTCAAGAGCCATGGGGGATATTGGTCTTTCGAGCACCGGGGAGATATAAAACCAGCCGTTTCATCGGCCGGTTGTTCAGATTCAATCATGCAATCCTTAACAAAAACGAAACCCTGGCCTTAGTTAATTAATGAGACCGTATATGTTTATTTTCATTTTACCTAGTTATTTTGGATAAACTAAAGACTCTTGAAGCCTTTTCCTTTCTGCTATTCGTTTTAGTTTTTTCATTCTTCAAAATCGTATGCTAATCCCGATTATTCAGGAACTTATTTTTTCAAGTTCGCGTGCTAATCCTAATTCTTAAAAAAGAAACCGGAAGAAAATAGTGATTCATATAAATGACAAGCTAATAATATTATTTCTAGAAAAACAGAAAAAAGTATTACGAAAAGACACGTACTTGATATCTCGGCCTGTTCGGGATTAAGCTTGGCGGAGAAGCCGCTGGCAGGCGTCTTGTAACTGTAGATCAGGGCATCCTTAGCAGCTTCTTCGCTGCCGAGGACGGAAGCGAGGGTTCGGAGATGGTAGGCTTCAGGCTGCTCATCCTGAGGCTTCTCGGTGTATACGATGTGGACCGCCGCCGCCGCGTCCTACGACGACGTCGATAACGATGATTTCGTAACATCTGCAGATTCAGCCATTTCGATCAAACAACACAAAGCAATTATCAAAAAGAATAAAACCAGATATATTTTTCTGTTCATATCGAATATATATGTTTGGCTCTGCTTTTATCTATTGAAATTCGAGGGTCCACAATTTTGACTTAATTATATATATGTATGTACGAAATTTATTTATTTATTGATTACACGTTAAACAATTAAAACGATGTTCAAAAATTAATATCCTCTTGAAAATGTATCGTAAAAATAACTTTAGCACATATAAAAAGATATTAATAAATACTATTTATAATAAATAATTACATAAAAATAAATATGTAAACAAATAAATAAATAGTGCTGAAAATAAAATAAATAAAGATATATTAAAAACAGAGATTAAACTACTAAATATTGTTTAGTCCTTATCACCACCGCCATCACAATTTAGTTTTCCTTCAATGCTAACTCCTTTTCTTTCTTGCCTTTTTCATCAATGGCTTGCCCACTGTCATGGACTCATAGGGTCGACTTTTTGTTAATTAATATTGATAACATTATAATTCTTTTAATATACTCCAAAATATATACATCTCTCTCTATGTAAATATATATACAACAGTAGGTATGAAATTAAAAAGGAAACAAAAATAAAATCAAAGAACCATATATAATAACCCAAACTGGTGTCCTCTGTCCCTCCTTTTTTTTCTCTCTATATCTATGGCTTCCATAATTTCGGCGACCAAATACCCTTCTTCCAGGCGAACGCCTTCGTTCTCTTCGTCTTCATCTTCTTCGTCGTCATCAGCAACATTATCATCATCGTATTTTCAAGACGATTCGCCTCTTAGTCCGGTGGTTCCGGTCCGGTTTTCAGGCGTACCATTTTCTTGGGAACGTTTACCAGGGATACCTAAGAAGCTACAAAACCACAAGAATAAAGAATCCATCAAGTTGCTGCCATTGCCACCACCAGCTACTCCACCGACCTCCAGGAAGAGCATTTTGAGGAAGTTGCTATCTCGGAAGAAAACTTCCACTGCCTCCACCGTGGCTCCCGTCGGTGCTGAGATCTTCCGGAAGGACCCGTTTTTCACGGCGTTGGTTGAATGTTCCAAGGATGACGACGACGATGAAAACAAATCGTGGAGAGCAGCAGGAGCTAAGGTTACAAGGAGTATCAGTGATAGGTTCGGATTCGGTAATCTTTGTTTCAAAAAAAGTTATTCAGTTTCGGAATCAATACTCTATCTTCCAAGTGCTAGCAGCAGAACAGATAATTATGGCCTAATTAATCGTGGCTCTCGTTAAATGCAACACCCATTTGTTATTAGTTACTGGGATTACTTAATCATGTTATTATCACCCTTTTTTTCTTTGTATTTTCTATGAAATATGAGGGGAAGAATGATGAATGAAGATTGCACTCTGGAACTCATCTCTAGTAGTGTTCCATGTGATGTTTAATGAGAATATGAGTGAAGATTGCATTACTCCATGTGGGAGTTAAGTTAAGCGCTGCTTCTGTATGTATCAGCTTCTTTATTCCTATTCATTTGTTCTCTGCTATCTGCAATACTGCATATTTTACTCTTAATGTAAACTTTACATTTAATCATCCAATTATCACTTTGGTCCTGTTTTAGTCACCTAATTATTTCTTTTAAAATCATAATTAATATTACGTTTTTGATTTCATTTCTATCATCCATCCTTAATAACTTAAAAGGTGATGTTAACATGTAATAATTAAGTATTGTCACTCGTCATTGAAAAATATTAAAAATATTATAGGAGGCGTTTGATTATTTTTTAACAATAGATGGCTAAAATAAAATTATAATATAATGTTAGTTATAATTTGAAAAAGATAATTCAGCGATCAAAATAAAACTAAAATAATAACTAAGTGATTAAATACGTAGTGTATCTTTGCATAAATAAGGATCCATTTTAAATTTTAAATTTGTAGAGAATGGACTCGTTTAGGGATGGCCATAAGACCCGAATTCTACGGGTTTCGACCCGATCGATCTAATTAGGTTGGGTTTTTTTATAAAAAAAAAATAGGTTCAAGTCGGGTCGGGTCGTGTTTTTTAAAGGTGATATTCGGGTTGGGTTGGGTCGGGTTCGGGTTTAGGGTGAAAAATACCCAATCGGACCCTTAAAAAATATAATTTTACATTATATATTTAGGAATAATTATAATAATACCCCTCTATATATAATTTTCAATTAAATCATTGTTAAAAATAATATTTTTATTATTATTTCGGGTTAAGTCGGATCGAATCGGGTTCAAATTTTATCTCAAAAAATTGAATCGAATCGGGTTGGCCAAAACACGACTTAAACCCGACCCGTGCCGATCCCTAGACTCAATTTAACATCATCATTAAATTATGGATGTGTTTGATCTCTCACGCAAAAAAATGTTGCCAGCTTTGACATCAAATGCAAAGTTATGTGGGTTTAATTACTGAAAATGTAGGCAAATAATAATTAAAAGGTATGATCCATGTCTAAGATTAAATGCAATGTTTGTGAAGAATAGATGGTTACGTCTCTTACAATATTTGACGACCGTGTATAAGCATGAGACCGGACATGAATTTCTTGCGTTTCAAGTATTATCGGCACCCAACATGCATATAATGTCACATATGGTGTAATAAATTTGGCATCAACTGCAAATTAGTAGGGATGGGCATGAGTCGGGTTTTTGGTCCACCTGACCTAAGATCAAGTAATCCTCCACTCGAGACCCGACCCGACCCGACAAAAATAAGATTTCATCCGACCCGAATCCAACCTAATATATAACTTAAAAACCTAACACGATCCGACTCGACCCGAAATAATAAAAAATATTATTTTTATTCAATAAAAATAGTGGCTTAATTGAAAAAAATAATATATAGAGAGTTATTATTGTAATTATTCATAAATATATAAGGTAAAATTATAAATTGTTTTTGGGATCGGATCGGGTATTTTTCACCATAAACCCGACCTGGCTTGTAACACCCCAACCCGTATGTCACATTAACTTTTTAAAACAATATTCTTACAAAATAACAAAACGTTTGAACTTATATTAAGAAAATACGATAATATACCGTTGAATTATGTTCGTTATAACACATTTAAGGAAAAATATGTTTTTATGAACAATAATATATGGTACGAACAATACTGTGAACAATATCATGAACAATACATTTATTTACTCTCTTTAAAGCCTATGTACACTTCTGAGAACTTAAGGTATGTGAGTACATTGAGGTTGTGCACCACTATGCTGTCACCACAACTCGTGTAAATGTCCCGAAGAACCAGTCTATAGATCCCGAAGAATCTAATCAGTCCATATGTCCCGAAGAACATAGGTAAACAGTCCATATGTCCCGAAGAACATAGGTAAACAGTCCATATGTCCCGAAGAACATAGGTAAACCCTCGACTCTTGGCATGCCAACTATACCACTAGCTCTCATATCACATAAAATGAGCATTATCATTTATAACAGTTCACATATTCACATCACTTATTCATATCATTTCTCTTATAGACACATATCTCTTCTTTTCTGTCACTTATCACATGTACGTATAATCATTGATCTTTTAACATATGACTTTATCGTATATTTCATATCTCATTACCACGTAGTCATTTCATTCTCTATGTCCTTATCACATAGCTTATTTCACATTCATATGTCACATAGTTCATATCACTTTGCATGTAATCACATAGATTATATTATATAACTTATATAATTTCTCATGTTTTTATGTAAACACATATGTCATATCTTGCTCACATATGAATGTATTCACACCAATCAAAATCACATAAAATAACATGTGACCCATATTCCCATTTTCATATACTCATACATACATAAGAATCATATCAATCATACTCAATGATGTATAAAACATCCATATATAAAGTTATGCATGTACCACAAATCAAATAACATTTTAGGAGTCACTTCTTACCATAGTAACTCCGTCACTGGCTCGTCGCAAGCCAATGTTTATTCAATAACATAAGTACAAATTAAATTGCACTCACCTTAGCCTTGCTTAATTTCCAATCCACCTCTAATACTTCCTTCTTTGAATTGAATCCTAATTCCTCGATTGTTTCATAACGGAATTACGTTCTATATCTACATAACAATACATTTATACATATCAATATTCCAATCAACATACTTTAATCTTTCTTTTCTTAATTAAAAGAAAGGTTATTTTCATTTATTATTTAAGGTAGGTATCGGTACCCTTTATAGGGTATCGGTACACCCCTAACTGAGATATCGATACCCTGCCTAAGGTATCGATACCCATATTGAAATCTATAAATTTTTGCCCAGAAATCACTATTCAAGTACGAAAATTCACTATTTTCAGCTTTAATACTTCATGTTTTATTCCCTTTTTATATTATTAACTCAAATACACATACTTAAACCAATTTATATCCATTTATCTCATCTTAAACCTCAAAATCCTCTCCTCGTTATGAACTTCAAGAATCATACCCAATTTTCAACATGTTTTAAATTCAATTCTATCACTTCATATCTCTTAATTAAGTTAATGACAAGTCAAATCCAACTTTCAATTCTTATTATAAGCTCTATTTCAAGATTTAACTCAAGAACTTCCAAATTTTTAATCTTTCCTAACTCCTTTTTCTTTTGATTTTAAGATAACTTAAAGCTTTCCTTAAGCTTAGTTATCATCTAATGATCAAAACCCAACCATAAAACCAACAAATAATCAGCTAACAAAGAAACTCACATTTGCCTTTAGGGGTTCACGGTGAAAAGAATAACAAAGAAGAAAGGAGAGTTATCTAGAAACATTTGTTTCATACACATGCTCCACATGGGTATTAAAATACCCATAATTATTATTTAATTATTATTCTTGTCAAATGACTAATATATCATTTATCTCATTCTTTCTTAGACCTATAGGCCAATCTCGAATTACATCCATGGGAGCCTTTTGATTTCTTTTCCCATTTTCTTGTGCCCGATATTCTTCATAGGATTTAGTTACATTAGTTTCTGTTGCAACAAAGGTTTCTGAACATTGAACCTTAACCCATTCTTTTATCTTGCATTTTTGAATTGCTTGCTCTTAAGGGTCTTGGAAATTTCCCTTAAGGTTACCAGGAACCTTAGCTGAACAATTTGGAATTCCAGTCTGATTTATCCAAGGAACTTCCTTATAGGTCCAATTCTCATTTGGAGGCCACTGTGATTGATCAAGTTGTGGAGTAATTGATCTGGCTGAGAGCATTTTTGGATGTAATTTTTCACTCGAACAATGGAAGGGAGGAAATTGAAATCCCTGCACATTCTTTTTCTTCTTGATCACTCAATAAGGTTTGGCACCATGTTTAACTGAATAAGACCTCACTGTATTAACCCCAGCTTCTTTCTTGACTTTAGTATTGTTAGAGCCTCTTATCTTGCCATTCTTGATAGCCATTTCGATGATTTCTCCACTTATGATGATGTCAGAGAAATTATTAGGGACAACCCCTATCATGTGATTAACATAAGGAAATTTTAATGTGCTGATGAACAAAGTAGTGAACTCTTTTTCAGTCAATGGTGGATGTACTTGAGAAGCAACGTCTTTCCATCGTTGTGAATATTGTCGAAAGCTTTCATTGCACTTCATATTCATGCTTTGCAACATTGTTCGATCAGGGGCCATATCAGTCATGTGCTTGTATTGACCCAAAAAAGCTTGAACTAAATCCCTCCAAGAACGTATTTGAGTACGTTTTAGCTGATTATACCATCTGGATGCAGACCCAGATAAAATGTCTTGGAAACAGTGGATCAACAACTTTTCATTCTCTACATAGCCAGTCATACGACGACAATATATAGTGATATGATATGAAGGGCAAGTGGTCCCATTATACTTCTCAAAATCTGGAACCTTGAACTTTGGTGGAATAACCAGGCCAGGGACCAAACTTAGTTCTTTGACATCAAACTCATAAAATGACTCAACTGTCTCTATAGATTTTATCACCTCTTCTATATTTTCCAATCGTTGAGTGAATTTTTCCTTCTCAACTGATTTGTTTAGGTCAAGGATCTCATTACTAATACAAAATTCATCAGGCTTCAACTCAGAAGTAGTAGGACAATCAGTGGGGAATGATGCTCCAGCTTGATATGGTGAGTTCTTAACAGCGAAGTAAATTGGTGATTGAATTTCCTGGGGTACAGAGGTGAACTCAGGAATATGAACAGGTGTAACACCCA